GCTATGCTTTCCAGTTACGAGAAAACAATCTAACGATCAGTAGTTTTAATCACGAATGCTGAAGATTTTTTTTTTCATAATATTCTGGGTGAGCGAGTGTAATTATGGCAAGTGTCAGCAAACTACGTAGCTACTTTACTGCGTATGCCGCTGACGTTGTTAGTTACGTCCGCCGCCGGCGCTGGAATCCCCCGTTTGTCCGGGATTCCATCGCCACAACCCATGGAGTGTACGAAGCATACGTGCACACCACAACGCAGAAGGCGACCCTAGCGGAGGGGCTGCTTCGAGCGCAAGCCCGGCCGGACAAAATCACTAGCTCTGGGAGGGGGGCGGGGGGGGGGGGGGGCGGTGGGGGTCAGCGGGGGCTCAGCGAGCGCGTTGGACGGGAAGGCGGGAGGCGGGCTTAACAGGCCACAGTAGGCTGCTCAGTCTGCCGAATGCGTAAGGAGGATGACGGCGAAAGACAGGTTTGCGCAGGAGACGAACCTCCTTCACACTAAAAATCTTTAATTTCACTGTTGTTTTAATAGTTCTCCATCTCAGTGTTATGATTATATGAGGATACATACATTATACAGGTCATATGCGTTTAGCACAAATACTGAATGTCCATGTTAGATTGCCATGCTAGCCATTACTGAGGCATTCTAGTTTAATGCCAACATTTCATTGAGGCCTCACGCTGGAGTACAACAATATTTCCAGTACAAGAGGATTCTAATGCATCAACAAACTCCGTCCTACATCTGCTTTATCAAGTAGCTCAAGTTAAGCTTAGATAGTGTTACCATCAGATATCAGCCTTTTGCATTTTTTTTGAAACTGGGTCTGATGAATGCAGTACACCACTAAGAGACAAATAACCTTAGTTCCAATGCATTAGATCAGATAGCGCAGGTGTATTTGAGACGACTGTTAACCCATTCGCGTCAGCTTGCAATGGCATTACTCTTCGCATTTTTAATGCTCTGTCACATGTTTACACACCACTCATGGCCAGTATCACTCACATATCTGAGGTCAGCATCTGACACACATTCTAGCAAGTTGTTGCTGTCACGTAGTATATTTAGCTAGGTTGACATGGAACAACACTCTTGCATATCATCAGACGTGGCAACATGAGCAAACAAAATCAGGTCCATCTTGATATCAGAATGAAAGGACACAATAGCTTTTTGTACAGACACATCACTCATGCTGTTGTGTTGCTCTGTCTTTTTCTCGTCTATGCACAGTTTGCTCGCTAGTTTCACTCGCTCTCATGCTTGCCATGTGCTTTCTATTCTGCTGTTGTCTATGCACAGTTTGCTCGCTAGTTTCTGACGCTCTTTTACTGGCGTTTGCAACTTAGCTTTAGCCTTCATAGCTGATTTGAACACTATCTGACTCGCATGCGTTTCATGCTTTGTCTGGCAAAAAATGCTCTGCTTTTCTCTTGGCTCGAAAGTGGTACAATAGTTTCACACTGTGGGCATACTTTACTTGGAGGCATGATAGAGAAATCGGCAACTCACGCAACCGGACACATTCCTTTCACCGAACAAAGGCCGCTTTCCCAACCGTGGCTGCATTGTCTCTCAGCTAGAGAGACGGCTGCTGTCTCGCCACGTGCTGCTGATGCTATTGCGCAGCCTAGTTGCTTGGCACGCCCTCATTCAATGGGCTGCCACTATTACCCTTCACCAATGCCTAGTCGTCCCTACATTAACTCTGTCTAATTGTCATTAAACATCATTATAATTATAGGGTACTTTATTTGCCATCCAAGTCTATTTTTATGACCCACCACTGCTAAAAGAGACTCACCTGAAGTGTCCTGATAAGATTGTCTGAGTGCCTCATAATCATTTCATGTTGCCAAGAATATATTCAAAGGACTGCATTACAGCGGGAACACCACGAATTCGAGCTTTAGTTTCACTGTGTTGAAATACATCTGTGGCCTCCGCCCAAGCACACAACAAAGGCAAAAAAATGTTAGTAATGCACATGACAAACATGCAGTGTCTTGAGATTTCATGTAGAAAAGGCCATTCAGAAAACCATGAAGGTTGAAAGCTACGGTACACAAGTTGTTTACCAAACGCTCGTTAGGAAACTTGAAAGTTTTCGTTTGGTGCGGATGAGAAGGAATATCAACATCAGCTGCCTCCGTAAACACCATCTGCGTGACCATCACTATAGTGTGCGCACGCGCAGCCTACGCGCGGCCGTATGGAACGCACCGCGTATGTACCGAGGGGCCAGACGACGACGTTGGTGCCGTCACAAAAATGTAAATGGGGTGGAGCAAATATACTCGGCCTAAAGCCGAGCCTATTTATTACCGCTGAAAACTACCGCACACAGCGTTACCATCGGTCCTTTCTCGTCCTTCCAACACTTTTTGCCTCTTCCCTTACTTGTGTAGCTATCTGTCACTGTGCCTATTTCATACCTACCAACCTGCAGATAAACCTTTGCTTGAGAAATGTGTCATATTTGCTTGATTTGGAGTAAGTTTTGCTTGAAAATGCTGCGCGTCCATTCAAAATGTATGGGCATGATGCATCACAGGTTAGCACAAAAAAGAGGGATTTGGTGATTTTCTGGTGGGATAGGCAGTATTTTTGCTTGATTATCAAGCATAAAGCTGGATGGTTGGTAGGTATGCGTATTTGCTAGCTGGAACAATAATAAACATTTGAGCATTCTGCGAGGTTGTATGACGTGCCAAAAAAGCAACTTCTAAAGGAAGGTCCTTCAACAGTTAGGCTCTATCGTAACTTGTAGGTTCGTAACAACTGATCAAAAGTACAGTCGTAGGTACACTACACACTAGAAATGCAAGCTACTTATATAGTGACATGATACAAGAATGAGGAAGTAAATGTGACGTCATACAATGAATATTATTAAGGACCGGGACCTACTGCAGCCGGCATTAGCTGTACAATGGTGAAAGCGCTCTAGCTCTGCAAAGGAATTTTCAGAGAAAACCGCTCGAATATTCTGACCTTTATCGCCCATTAAGTAGGTCGTATCGTTTGTGAGACTAACAAACATTGGAGAAGTGAGATATAGAGTAACAGACACACACACACAGACAGAGGGACAGACCCAACTACCGTACCCTCGCTGCGCATGCGCGCCGAGGGTAATCACTCTCAGGATAAGTTCTATGTGCAGGCATGGGGGAGAGCCATCATCTTACTTGCTTCCCCACTTTCTCATTGCATAGTTCTATGCCAAATGCTCTGGCTCAATTGTGGACTCAAAGGTTAAGGCATAGCTATACATTTGCCTCCCCTCTCATTATAATTCACATACAGTCACTTACTAACCACAGTATGGTGCACACAGCGTATAACTTTGTGCACTAGCCTTCGCAAAGTTTCATTAAGGGTACAGCAGTGCAATATAACGCATGGTATTGGAGTGGGTGTCACATCCACCTTTTGCCTTCGCTTCAGTCTGTGAGTACAAGGCAAGTTTTAGAACAGAAAGTTCGTGGTTTGCTGTCTCTTCAAGCTGTGAGCTGTTTTTCCTGTTGACGTGAACAATTTGAATGCGAGCGCGGCTGAGCCCCGTCATTTTCTCTGTGTGTCCGACACAGAACACCTTTGCGAATGCACCGTTTGCCCAGTTTTATTCACAGGGACTGTGGAATGTTCAGTTTTAACCCTCTCTTCAGTGAAGCAAGTGAATTATCCGGCACTCAACTGTTCGGTTGCTCATTGTCCTTCTGACAGGGACGGTATTAACATAGTAAAACCTACATGGCGTATGTTTCAATAGTGAACTTTTATCAACATGCCTATGTTCCTATTTTTTTCACTACCTAAGTTGTATTCGCTCTATTATCTTTATGTGTAGGTCCTTTTGTAAGTCCCGAGGAGGTGGTAGCTCGACTGATCCAGGTTGGGCTGTTTGACAAGGCTATTGACACAGCCCGCTGCTTTGGACTACCTTTGGACTCCATTTTTGATGCACTTGCCTCGAGGTAAGTATGCTCTCTATGACTTTTTGCTTTGCTTGTTCATTCGAGAAGACGTGGACTTTGGGATGCCTTCTGAATTTCTTATTCCATCATTACAGCTCATCGATATTGTCAAAATGTACAATTTTATGTATTTTAAGTTAGGTGTGTACGCAAATCAAATGGACTTAGTGTTTTTGTAGACAACATGAGCTATAATTCTCAATGTTTCTCTTACTTCAGATGTGTTCACTTGACCAACAGCTTGGTGGGCTTCAGGTACACATAAGAATTGCTGATTATGTCCAGGCTATTGTGTTGTTTCGCACAGGGATGAAACAGACGATGCCAGCAATTGGAATTGGCTGGATGCAAATGAATCCATAGACATTCCAACACCAATAGAGAGATCGTGAGTACTGAAAGTTTCTTGCTGGCTAGGCAAATGAGTGTATATGTATAGTCATAAGCATGTATATACAGGGTGTAGTTGATTTGTTTGTTGTGCCTTTGCCTTTCTACCTCGTTTTTCACATGTGTAAAGCATACTTAGCATAAAGATATGAGAAAGAAAGAACCACCACCACCAATACATCTAATATACCTAAACACATAGAAATAGAAACGGTTTACACATATGTATATGCCTAGACATGGAATGCAGGAGGTATATACACTGGATCTTTGGAGGTTTAAAAACACCGATATGGCATGAAGGTTATTATTGCCTTCCTTAAGCGTTGTGGATAAAGCCTGGCTTATGCTCAAGTCGTATCTGAGGACATATGACCATGTCCATGGCCACAGGCTACAGAAGTGCGTTGCTAGGAAGCTACTGTCCCTCGGCTCTCATCTGCCCCAGTGGCTTATCCAGTCTTTCAAGGTAAAGTTATAGTACTATGTGTAGGGGGCGTGTAGGAATTCAATGAACAACCCCTGCTTTGGTGGTCTCCCAAGATAGCAGTACATGGATGGCCTATTTGTTGAAATCTTGTATGCCCCGAGGATACACAGTATCACCCCCTTTTTATGAGTTTGTTCTGTACAACCAAGGAGTGTAGGCTTTAGAAAAATGGCTATATACCTAGTTTGATCACGTGAAGAGAGATTCAACACTCAAAGCAGGCAGGAAACTGTCTATTTATTTGTAGGAGCGTTTTTGCATGAAATTTCATGTTAATAAAGGCACAAAAACCTCGTACCTCACCCAGTACCTGATATCCTACTAACCTGTCTTCACAGGAGACAAATCCAGCTGAGCTTCTGCATCTGTATTTGTCGTTTAATCTACTGGAGGAAGCTGCAGTGTTTGCACTACAATACATAGATGCTGTACTTGGACCTCGACGAGAAGAGTTTGCAATGAAGGTCTGTAATCATTGCATCCTCACATGTTGCACACTTTTGATCTCTGTCTTTGTCACTACAGGCTACACTCCATTCATCATCTCCGAGTGTGTGGCTCCCTTACTCCTCTCTTGACCACTTGAGAGAGGCACTACATAACGCAGAGTCAACCTCCCTGATAGAGGTTTGAACTGTTTGGGATTGGGGTTCTAACATGTTTGTTAGCAGTCCAGCTAACTACTACACGAAGCTAACCATTCTACAGTTTCTCCAGAGACCACTAGGCATAAGACCACACCTTCAATATGGGACACAATATTTTTCAATAGCTCATCAATAGTCGAAATGGTCGTCATTTAGTCTCTCAAAGCCGATTAGAACAGATGGATAGGTCTGCCAAGTTTAATCGTGCGTGCGTTCGCTTGTTCACAGCCTACTGGAGCTCTGTGTACGTACCTCACTACCTAAGCGTTTTCTTTCATCAAACTCTCCAGGTAGGCCTAGTAAGTGGGATGGTGTTCTTGCCATTTGGACAAGTTTACACGCAGTGGAAACGGACGGACCCCCCACTATCAGGAACTCACTCCAGCTGCACACAAGTCTCTTAGAACTTGAACTCTTTGAGTACACCTATGGACACATGCATAGCTTTTGAATTAGTAGCATACTTAATGGTCCCTCTTAGTAGGCACTTTATATAATAATGCTAGTGGAAGAACGGATTTTGTTAGCTGTACGATTTGGTAAGTGTCAACCTCTCAGAGGTCAATGAATCTATCCGTACTACGGATAGTATCTTCTATCCATAACACTGTTTGCTTCTGATCAAATTACACTGTAGCTCCACTAATGACATGGTTATTATGGATAAGTATATTTTTGGGCCAAGAATTTATGAACCCCCAACACACATGCTCTGTGAGGAAGATTGGTAGTTTTGTCTGGGTTTTTTTCGCCACCACATGTAACAACCAATGTGTTACACTGCCCCTTTTAACCCTTGATGCAACATGTTCAGCGAGGGTTACAGTACTTGGTCTCATGTGTTCTTGCACTACAGTCTATGAGGTGGCCTATGAATAAAACCAATGACAAGAGCATTAAAAATGAAAGCCGATTTTAACTGTGTTCAAGAGATATGGCATAAAAACCAGTGAAAAAGCCAATGTGCTAATCAGCAAGGGCTTTGCCAGTTCTATGGTACCCTGGGAGGCACACAGTTACTTAGAGAATGTCGATTCCAGCATCGTTACCAGAAATCCACGGACATTACAAGAAAACATGCCTCTGGAATGTAAAAAAAATCTGAGCAGGTGAAATGTATGGAGTTCAGTGCGGAAATTTATTTATTACAGGACCTCTCGGTAGCAATTCGTCCCATAGTTCGTGCCCTGAAAGGCAAACTACAACGACTTCTGTCGTCTGGCCGCCATCCAAGCGGACAACCGCGTTCTCGACCTACGTCCCCCATTAGACCGTGTACATTTTGGATGAAATTTTGAAATCTGTCCGGGTTCAAACTTTATTTAGCTACTGTTCATACGTTGTATAGTTCGCACCTCGATACTAGAAGAGTTGTATTTTTGTTTGGGCTGTTGAAAATATATCTGTTCTATACAAAGTTTAGCATACAAACGCAGTTGAAAATCGGGTAAAATTGGATGAAGGAAACTGGCCCATCTGCCTTGAGGATCCGGAAGATGGCATTTCTCTATCAAACGCCACTTTACTCTCAACTAAGGGGTTTCTGGAACAATAGGCCTACTTTCTGCCCTGCTACAGCGATTTTTACCTAGCTACTCTAAAGGTAATCGCTCGATTACACTGCGTCATCCCGGTGCAACTGAACCTCTGTTCACCTTTGGTAGACGACGCAGGGTTTTACTTAGTACACTAGTATTGAAACGTTCAAGCCTACAGACAGAATAGTTTGGGCCAAAACCCCAAGCAACCGCGGCCTCTCATACCACGAGCGACAACCAAACACCCCTATTTGTGGCTTTTCTCACATAGCTTCCCACTTGCATTTAACTCGAACGTGCTTTGGTATCCACCAACATTCGAATGAGTGTCAATGAGTGTGTGATCTCATTCAAATTATCCCCTGACAACTCTTCATTGTAAAGAAAAGGTGCCAGAACCCCCAAACAGACAGATTAAGAGGGTCCGGTAGGCTAAAAATGCCATTCAAAAAATACAATTTACAGTGCAAACCGCTTTTTGTCACAACATAAGGACGTGTTAGAAGTGAATTTTGAATGATTTTGTGGGGGCTGAAATAAAACACAATTGTGCCAAAGAGACATTTCTGAGAGTTACCGACTTGGGGCAGCTCTAGTAAAGCCATCCTATGACTTGGACCTCGCACACAGGTACCTAGAAACATGAACTCCACAATTTTAGGCCTTGGTGTGATACGCTAAGCAAGAATCCCCATGGTCACCCCACAACTATAACACACACATACGTACTTCAAGAATGTGATAAAAACACAGATCTTGTGAAGTGGATTCCAAATTTGATATGGCACGTACAGATTTATAAAAATGCCCCAAACTCGAAAAGTGAGCATTTGAGAAACAAGCCGAAGAAGAACACACACATAGAGATCACAGTACATCTGGCAAAAGAGTATCTAGCTGCTCCTAGCACGTTTACTAGGTCCTGGGTCACAGTCAAACCCCCAAGGCACATACACTGGCCTCTCCCTCTCTTTTAATTCCCTTTCGCTTCTTTCTGGCCCTCCTCCTGAACGCCTTTCCGCATTCACTCGACTTGTATTTAGATTTTTGCACACACAATCTGTCTCTCTCTCTGAGCATATGCCTACAGAAATGAGATGTAGTTCAATCCTTTTGGACAGAAAGAGAAGAGCACATGCCCCATCATTGAATCTGCACACGGCAATTGAGCAGGCGATGTCCATGTCGATGAGATCTCGAGCCAGAATAGGCAAACGGAATGGCTGTTTTGGTCTGACAGCTTTGGCAGAACACATATGGATGCATGCACAGACTTTCTCTTTTGAATAGCTCCTCCTTGAACAAGAGAGGCCCCACACTCTTTGCAACACACAGCATTCTTCAAAGCCGATTGTATCCCGCTTACTTCCAGTATCCGCGCTCCCTTTTTTGGGTCGTCGTTCTCACTTTCACTTTCTGAACTGCTGACAGAACTAGGATACTCACTGGGGAGAGGGAGAGCTTTCTCTTGCTAGATGTAGTCAGACCGCTTTTGGCATTTGTTGAGGCGCTTCCTGTCGGCATATCTGACTGAGTTTGCACACTTTCTGCGTGTCTATGAGGAGGTCTATGCTTCGCCCGACGGACTAATCACTGCTTAGTCCTTGGCATGGTGCTTGAAGTGCTGGAGAGGGCGAAAAGATGACTATCCAAGAAGCACGTCTTTGTGCGAATTCTTGCACGCAGCGATGATGTCACGTAATGCCATGGCAACGGCCGAAATTCTACAATTTCATTGGTTGATCCGCGTGCAACTAACGCGGAGTAGTAAACTACACAGAAGTATTTGCTTGTAGTTGCCAAACTAAGCGCATATGCGCATCTAAAACATTACCTTTGCCGTTACAGTGCTCTGTGGAAAAAAATTGAACTCTGTATGGCAGGGTAGTGGTGTGTTGCATGTTGAAATCATCAAAACGGTGTCTTTTTGTCCCTGAGAAAGGGAATAGCTGTTGGATATGGAGGTATATGTCTCATTTATTGTCTAAAACACTAAGCTCAATCCTTAGGACCTTTAAGATATTAAAGAACATGAAATTCTTTTCATTTTTGGTGATTTTAGCCTACGAGACCCCCTTAAAACAAGCATCACCATCTTGTCCTAGAGTAGGATGGACAATCCTGTGTGCTCCTTACAGAAATGAGTCGTTTATGGACTACAGTGGAACCTCCAGTAATGGACACTCCGAAGAGCGGACAACCTACCTATATCGGACAAACTGCGTGCCCCCTGCCGACAACCGCATGCACTCCATACATTTCTACCTCCGAGATACGGACACCTCTAACCTCCGAAAAACGGACAAACCTCACGTCCCGCACCGTCATCCCGCGTACAAAATTACCTCCGTTAACGGACAACGGACGCTTGGCACCAGCGGAAATGCAGAAAATTGTACGCAGTCATACAACCAAACTAGTATATAAAAGCTAGCAAGTACTCCATAAGCAATTAGGGCGTCTATAAGCCCTTAGGTCCATAAAGACGGAAAACGCATGGTACTTCTTGTCCATAGCCAGCTCCCCTGTTCACTTCCTTTCCCGTAACTTCAGCGAAGGCCTTGTGACAGCACCATCCTTGATAACTGCCACAGCATGTTTGTCCACCGAATTCGTTGGTTCTCTCCTTAGCCTCAGAGTTTCTCCCACAAGTGGAGTCCAGCTTCCCTTGTAAGCGTGAAACCCTCGTATATAGGAACTGATTTCCAAAACTTGTAGCTCACCGCTAGTCTCTACTTGGCTAGCCATGAGATATTCGATGCTCCGCAAGCCAAAATGGTGCGCTCTAAACAAAACTCCACACACCAACCACGTGGGAGTGTGCGTCCAAAACCGAGGCGCGATGGCTCTTGCCACACCTGCGAAGAAACGCAATATTTTGTCCCTGGAAAAGAAGATCTCCCCATGTATGAAGCCAGTGCTTCAGGGAGCAGAGCACATGTCTCCCATCGCGCATCCGAGTATTCCAGTATCAATGATGCTCTATACCAGTGGTACACCATTGCATGCTCGAAAAATATCTATCCTTCGGGCCCACAACTGATCGAAAAAGCAAAAGAGATCGCTGCACGTCTCCGCAAACCAAATTTCAAAGGTTCCAATGGGTGGCTTGAAAAGTGGAAAAATAAATACAACATTCGACAGGTAGCAGTTTGTCGAGAGTCTGGCGACATGCATGGAGAAACAGTTGATTCCTGGAAGGAGAGACTTCCAGAAATCTTAAGCGGCTACAGCAAAGAAAACATATGGAATATGTATGAAACAGGAGTGTTCTGGAGGGCGTTACCTGATCGTGGGTTTGGGAAGGGCTGCCATGGTGGTAAGAAGAACAAACAACGTATTACCGTTGCCTTTTTTGTCTCGGCAGCTGGTACAAAAGAAAAGCCTGTTGTTGTATGGAGATCTGAAAAGCCACGATGCTTAAAAAGGTTTGATAAATCTGTATTACCTGTCCAATACTTCAGTCAAGCAAAATCATGGATGACTGGAGAACCCATCTTGACAAGGCTGAATCACCGGTTGTCTGGCAGTGGTCGTTCAATTCTCTTATTGATGGACAATGCCGGGTGCCATCCTGGGAGCCTAAAAGAGAAATTTTCCAACATCAAAATCGTATTTCTTCCTGCTAATACCACTTCACGTCTCCAGCCACTCGATCTTGGCATTATAAAAAATTTCAAGGTTCACTATCGTACAGTTGTTTCTCAGGTACATTCTTTCGAAGATAGAAGAATGTGAAACAGCATCGGATGTTGTTAAGTCCGTCAACATTCTTATTGCAATTCGGTGGGTTGCTCAAGCCTGGTCAAAGGTAAAAGCTGAAACAATTTGCAAGTGCTTCAGGAAGGCCGGAGTTCTCGATGCTACCATGCTCGTGGAGAAGAAGATGATGATCCATTTCTAGAAGCTGATGCGTCCCATGAGCTGCAGGGTCTCATTGATAAAACCATGCAGGCTCTCAAGAAAAGTGCATATTGGAGGAATATGTGACTGGAGAGAGTGATCTTGCAGTGTGCATGGACATTCATGGCGAAAATTGGCAGGAAACATTTCTCCAACAAATAGGACAAAGTGAGACAGAAGCGAAGGAAGATGAAGATGATGAAGAGACGAATGATGATGACCAACCAAACTTACCAGGAGGCACTCAGAGCACTAGAAGATGCGCAGCAGTTTCTACTGTCTCAAGGACACGTGAAAGAAGCGATGGACATTGGCTGTAGTGTGGACAGTGTAGTTGCTTTACAACTTAACACACAAAAGCAATCTACACTTGATCCACTATTTCATTCAGTGAGCCTTTTTTTAACATTACTGTGGACAGTATACTCATCCATGATCTGTAATATACTTATTCATGTTGTTTAACATTGATTATTATGGTACTTAATGGCAGAACCTCCGACGAAGGGACAACCTCCGAACAATGGACAAAATGCTCGTCCCCACCGTGTCCATTATTCGGAGGTTCCACTGTACATGAGAATATTCAACTGTGGGTGTCTGTGAATGTTATGTCACTTTTAGTTTAGAATATGTGAGAGGCAACTGTTATTTGTATGGGACCAACACCGTCACAACCTCGTCCGACATAATTATTCTCTGCAAGCATCTGTAATATAGTGCAGAACAATCACCATAGCTTCGAAACAGGTGTTGGCCGTGAAAATTATGGGCAAATGTTTCTTTTCAATTGCATCTCAAAGCAATGATCGGAAAATATAAGCAAGCCCACTTTCAGCATAGCCGTAACCACATTTACTCTGGAAACCCTTGTCTACTCAGTGTGTGCCTCTCCAACTTGATGAATGCTACTGTCATACACTTGCAGAGCATCAGCTATGTGTCAGAATCATGTTAAATGAAGCCTATATTTTGCAGTTTCGTGCTTCATACGAGAATCTTTTAGTGAGCAACTGTTCCTGACGTGCCCAACAGAACAATTTTTGGTTTTGTATGGTCAGATGCTCCCCATCGGCGGTACCCATTCGCAGTTAGTGAAATTCTTTAACGCCTTTCCCTTTAACCCAGAAAGGGATTAACTTTCACGCTAACACAGACATGGTGGAAAAGGAAGTGAATCAAAAAGAGACCTCACCTGGGGTCAGCTGCAGGAGTACAGTCAGATTTTGTCTGCCTCAACCCCGACATGCTATGCTGCCTTTGGTGGTTACTTGTACAGTACACCAGTCTAGCCCCAGTTATGTTCACCTCTGTCCATGTGTTACTCATATTATTATGCCAGATCCTCACCTAACTTTTCACGAAAATGCGCAATGCCGTCAAGCTACCTATTTCGCTCAACATTTTACTGTCCAACTTTAGAATACTGCATTTTGTACTCAATGAATAATGCTAGTTGGCAAGCACTGTTTTTCTTTTCACTGCAGCTCTCGTCCCAGCTAACAGCTAAACTGGAGGCCTATTTTAGGACTGCTACCAGTGTTACTGCAGACATGGAGCACCAGGCCCGACAGACAATGATGGTCACCCACTAAAACACCACTGACTCCTTATACATAGTATTTTCTTCTCAATTTACATCCTGATATTGTGTCATAATAATCCTGCCAAATGCCAGCTAACAAGACTGTTGAGACTGCACTGGTTTGGTCAGACGAGCTCTTTTACACCACTAGCTTCTATCTAAAATCACTCAGTAAATTGAAGTTATGCAAGTGTTATACGACGGTACATTGATTGAGACAGAGATAAGAGGCTCGCAACTAAAACCGGGGGACTGCATTCAGTACCACTGAGCTCCTCGGATATTATACCTGTAATGATGCTAGTGTTTGCAGCCTCTCTGCTGACATAGGATATAATTATAGGGGCAGGGGTTTAGCATTATACAAATACTAAGAAGAGTCTATATAGCACCACAATAGTTGATGAAAAACAGCCAGGTTGTATCTCCTACCTTTTCCTCTAGCACCAAGTACAGTGGAACCTCTAAATAATAATTATACACTGCACATTGGATCCATACATTTGCTCCTTTATAGGGCTGCTGTTTAGAGTAAACATTTGGGACCTCAAAGTGCGTCCAACCTTTTTTGCCCTTTATTGGAGGTTCTACATAACCTTTTCCCGAAATATTTACATCCTATATACTCGGGATGGATGATTCCCTACTTTCTCTTCAATTGATATCATAACTGGATACGCACGGTCATTAATTTTATAAGCTTAGTTTGCATGGGGTTTAGGTGTACCATAGGCATTCCATTCCCATCACTAGTTTACAAATAGCCTCAGGCACTCACTTTGTTAGTGTCAGTGGTCATCATCTGTGCATTACAACATCTCCGGATGACATTATTTTCGAACAGCTTCAGGCAATTTCTCTCATTACTCTTTAAACTTGCTATAGTCTGCATGCCATCAGTAGGGGCCTGGTGCAAATTTAAGCCCAGGAAGAAGCCAAAGGTCCGGAAGCAGGACCAGCAATTTTTACGCGCCAAGACGAGTGACGTGTAGTCCAACTAGCCAATCACAACGCTGAATTTCTGCTGTGTCATCCTGTATACTAATGATTGTTGTGTAAACTTTGGAAGCCAGACAATTTGCACTTATACAAGTAGCGCTAAATGTTGTGATAAGGACTTCCTGTCCAATACTGATATTGGTCAGCCCACAGCTCAGAATACAGCGTATATTCCTAGCACCCGGTTGTTTGAATTTGGACTACAAAGGCACCACACAATCTCAGAATTGATGGACGTTTTCTTGAGAATAATAGGGAGAATTGTGTGGGAATAATAGGAGCTTTCATAGAAAAGAATAAGGGCAAAAACAATGAATAATCCGCCCAGGCCCACTCAAGCCTCTGTATATACTCTGTACAAACCCAGTTTCCTACTGTATATAATAGTACAGCGCACATAATGTGCAACTGATGATCCTAGGTGCTTGGTATGAAGCTTGGTATGCATTCGTATTACATCATTTCCATGACAACAACATGTTCATTAACGACCAAGAACTTGGTAGCTTGCATTGACATATAACACTTAAAGAGCCTGCTAATAGATTGGAGTGGCAGTGCATCACACACTAGGCATGAAACAGCATGATGTCATCTTGTGAAAATGTCTGGAATTAAATGAGAGGATGAAGGGATGTCACATCAAGGAAGAGGAAGGGAAACACGAAGATGCCTACACCAAGTCAGACAGACATTCATTCATACCCCATCCTCACATCTCTTTCTTTAAAATGTAGTTTGCTAGCAAAAGGATGGGGTCATTCATTGTTCCCCTTTCTTTTTCATGATGTAATCCAACTTCATTTTGTACATAGAAACACGAGTGCAAGCCCGACTCCAAGAAAAATGCCTTTTAGTCTGTCACCTTTCCACAAAACACGCAGTTATGATAAAAATTGTGGTAATACAATTAACTTGATAATAATGCAGAAGCAGATAGTATTTACAGATGATATTCTTTTACAATCCAGTCTTTAACTGTCTCCCATTTAAGGTTTTTCCACTCATCAGGTATTTGTGTGGATTTTAAACCAAAATATTCTTTTACCTTATCTGAATGACGTGCAAGGAACCACTTCCAAAACATTGGAACCTCAACTGATTTGTCAGCAGGAATTGCCCAATTGGGATGAAAGTCTCTGTAGCGCTTAAAAGGGGACAATTCCCCCCCAGACTTTTTGTAAACAAATTTTAGATCAGATGCAACTAAAGATGGGCAAATCTCCAAAACCATCTTGTCATCTACTCCCCAAAAGACCCCTCCAAGGCACTGGGGACGATGCTGTGCTGAGTGCTTGATTGTGGTTGGATGACTTTCAGCAGTAAGCTCACACTCAGCCTTACAAAAAGGACATTGCTCAGTGCATCCAGCAACCTTTTCAAATATATAGTCATGTGCCGCTTTTTCTTTAATGATATTAACATACCTAATTTTTGAGAAACATTCTTGTAACTCAGCTTGGAGTAGTACTAATCCTTTAACAAACTCCTTTGTAAAGAAGTTGGCATCTGAAAATGGCTGGTCTTTTATGTATATCTGCAGCTGATCAAGAGATATTTTAAGGTTACCTGCAAGTGCTTTTGAGTGAAAGCATTTGAGCCATTCCTCTGCAGAAAAATGCTCCTTTTGAGACCGTGTAACATCTTTTGCTTTTGATATAAGCAACGAAACAGTTTCATTTAGCATGTCTATTGCCATCTCGGAGAGCCTTGAAGGAGAACCATCCTCACAATACTCCTTTGTGAAGTTTTCAGCCCACCAACAGAGGCTTAATCTAAAATCAGTAATAAACTGCATACAAAGAAAGAATCCTTTATCATGTTATCCCGTTCACCTATTTCGAGAAGAATTTTTCCTATAAAGCTTGTCTTTGATCCTATCCATGAATAGGCACCCTTTATTTCTTTTACTACTTTAACAGGAAGACTTTCTAGCACAAATGCTTCTATTGGCTCTTTTAACTGATGGCAGAGGGACTCAGCGGCTATTTTCTCTTTATCGACTTTCTTAAATAGGCTTATAAATATCTTTTGAAAGTGTGGCTTCATTTCGCAATTCACATATTCTGTAGGATCATACTTTCTTCTAAACCTTTCTGCCATTTCTTCAAACACTTGTAAGGCATTTCCACAGGCAGTAAGCGCCATGTCAACTTCATACTCATCAGTAAATTGGAATTCATCTGACTCCATCTTTCGTCTCTCTTTGATCTTTCGAAGCAGTTCTGTTGCCAACTGAGGACTGAAGTTGGCACCACTACTCTTAAACCTTATCAAAAGCTTTTCAACAAAAACAAAGGTTGTTGAAGAATGCATTTGTGCCTTTTGAATACAATCAGAAGGTTTCCGGCCAGGCACAATGAAATTAATCAGGTTCCCCACACTCGTCGTTGCAAAATTTGAATATGACGCTCTTCAATAAAGAGCTCTAAATTAGTACCCCACTCTCTGAGTGGCTTGCCATGGTCTGGGTCGGCCAGCTTCGTAGTCACAAATTTTTTTTGTGCGTGATATTGGTTTAAAATATAAGTTTCAACCTCACGTGCAATATCTGGGGGCTTTAAAGGCTCCATCCTTATATTCTTTATCCATTCTCCCCATTTTTCGTTAAATTTGGCCTTCAGTTCCTGCTCAGTTATCTTACTTTGACCAAGAATGCTAACAAGCTTGTGAACCTCCTCTAAAATTAACATACTAAGCCTTCCTTTTGTATCTTCTGCTTTTGCACGATCCCTCTGTGCTTTGTACACAACTTTGCAGTGTTTCTCTGCACGAGTAACTAGCTTGCTGCATAAATGTTGTAGTCTATGTTCCATGTCTGGTTTCCATTTCAATATTATGTCTCTATTTTCTTTGAAATAATTATTCATCAGACTTTTGTACTTCAGGCGTTTTTCGTTAGAAAATTGCTGCAAAGCATGTATGCTGTTAGCAAAAACATCATCTATATCGATTGGTGAACATCCACAAAGTGCATTTTCTGCCTTTCGCTCCCATTCAACAATGTCATTTGTAAAATACCATGACCAGTCTCCATACTTACTCTCTAGGGTATTATATGCAAGAATTTCGAATGTATTTTGGAATGTAAAAACAAAGTCTTCTTGAAGGACGGCATTCCATAACTTTTTCAAATGGATCTGTAGGTTATCAAGAGCATTACTTTGGTACTTGACATTACTGTGCATTTCGCAATGATATCAAGTTTCAAGCGCTGAGCTCCTTCACTATATCCTGAGCTTACTCTTGCCATGGGAAGGTTACCACTCCAAAGGCCAGGAAAGAACGAAACATCTGTTTCATGATCAAATTTTATGACATCAGTAAACTGCGTATAGAGAGTATGTGTTCCGGTCTCTTTGGCAGCAGCCTGCGCCATTTTGTCTAAATTATCTTTTGTCCTTGAAAACGTTCCTGGATCAATTTGTCCTCAGCTGCAACATCTGACACGTGGTGGTGGATGATATGACAGCATGGCTTAATTGCACTTGGTCTCATTCTTAAAAAGGCAATGAACTGAAGTGTGGCAGTACATCATCAATATCATCCTGCCAGTTCTCCTGATACATTAAGCAGGGTTAAGTTTGCCATACCAAAACAAACGTTGCGAGTTCAATTGTCATGTTCCCGAGCCTCAAGTCTGTTAAGCTCAGGAGCCCGTATACTTCTGTGTCAATGAGCAGGAAGTATTTAACACCTATCTTTTCATGCGAGATGATGAACAGGAATTAATTGCATAAATGCACCCCGGGTGCATCGTCCGACACTGACGCTGAACTTGACTCCAACACACAGTATTTAATAAGTTGATTTTCCAGTGCTCTGAATACCAAGAACAGATAAAACATATATACTGGGGTCATCTCCATTGATTTTCCCTCAAAAATATCTGCAAGCTACTCAAAACAGAAGATATCCAATTTTGTGGCAAGTGAGAGCATCTCCATCCAGTAGCTCAATGGAAACCCATCATAAAGTAGTTGAGCTGCCTATTCGAGGAACTGATATTCCGACAAGCTGCAGTTCATTTTTTTTTCATTTCTTTTGTGGTAACAGCTCATATATTTGACCAACCTCTACTAAAAAAGTGTTTCTAATCCAAATGAGGCATTAAGCAATTTTTTATCTAGGCTTTTCAAATCATCTTTGCATTTCTGTACAGCAAGTTCATCTTGTTGTGTTGATAGCTCGCTAATTCG